CTGGGTGCAGGAAAGACAGGGAGGCTGACGCTTGTTCAAAGGCCCTGACCCCTGAGCCTCCCTAGTTGGAAGGAACTGAGCTCTTGAGCAAGCTGCGATGGGGGTGGGGGGTGAGTGACAAGCTCCAGGAGGAAGACCAAGCCTCCAGGTCAGCACAGAAGACCTCCACTGGACTGAGAAGCGAGTGTGGGAGAGTCGGGCTTTGGGGGAGCACAGGACTGCTTGTGTGGGGAGGGGGTGCTGGCTGCGAGCTAGGTGCCCCCCAGGGGGCTGCTGCCCTGGCATCCTTGGTGAGAGGAAATCGCATCCCCTGTGGGTAACTGAGCACCAAGGAGAACCGAGGGAGCCCTGGTCAGTTTCCACGTGTATCACTATCCCACCAGCCAGGATCGGAGGCGATCAGGAAGCCCCTTCTCAGTAATAGTTTATGCAGTGACCGGCCCCCCAGGCACCTTCGTCATGAGGCCTCCGAGCCCTGGAGAAACGCGGGCTTCCTCTGTCCGCACAGTCCCCGCCACCACTGCCCTCGGACCGGGAAAAGCTGCGCGGTGAGCAGGGGTGAAGGTTGAAGAGGGAATAAGCGTGTAATCGTCCGCGCCAGACCTCACACGCGCTGAAGGGAATATTTACAGCAAACTTGCCAAAGTAAACGACCCCGCCTCCCCACCGTCCCTTGCCTCGCCTCCCCCCTTTTTGGTAAACTTTAAGATAAACACCCCTCGGTCACAAAAGGGTCGGCCTGTCCCCTCTACAGTGGGAGGCAGTAGGGGAAGGTGAGAGCCGGCAGACGCGTCCCCGGCCTCGTGTGGGCAAGACTAGCATCGCTGCCGACTCCCAGGCCTGGGCCGAGAGCCGCGGCTGTGATTGCGCGTGGATTTGATTGCGCGCGTGTGTTCAGACGACATTTATTCCGAGACTTCTCTGCCTCTCCCCCACTTGAGCATCTGCACTCAACACTATTCCTACACAGTAAACGCCGTGGGCATGACCAGATATGCAAAGGTTATTGTTATTAACTAAAAACCAGGCCTACGAGCAAGTGAAAATTTCTTCTTGCCAAAGGCGGAGGACTATTGGAGGACACCAGCCGCTCCTGGGGGCCTCTTGGACCCACACTTTGCCCCCCTTCTCCTGCCCTAAAGGCACCATTTCGCAGACTCTGCGGAGGGCTGGCTCCGTCCACGTTTCCCGTGTGTCTTTTGTGGAGCAAGGAGGAGAGGAGAGGAGAGAGAGAAGATAGAGGTAAAGAGAGAGGAAAATAAAAAAGAACCGTGCGGGGCCCGCGCCTGAAGCCTACAACCCGGGCTGGGGGGCGCCAGCCCTGTGGGTTCCCCTGGCGGCCGGGTCTGGCACAGGTCCTCGGCCGCGCTGGCCTGTGTTTAGCTCGAGTGCCGCGGCCACCAGGCCGCTTTTGTTTGTTTGCAAATTAATCACCAGCGCACGGCCGGCGCCAGAGCGGGTTTATCACCCACCGGGAGGGGGGCGCGGCGGCCCCGGGAGACAAAGAGGAGTTCGCACCTTCCCGCTTTTGATCCCCAGTCGCCCTGGCCTCCCCGCAGAATACGAGCCTCCCGGGGCGAGTCTGGGAGGTCAGTCATAATTGGCGGAAGTTTGCAGACCATTAGCAAGATGTCGACGTTTTCGGTTCCGAACCCCTCCAACGTTCTTCCTCACCCCCTTCCTCGCGCGCTAGCGTAGGACTCGGGGGTCAGGCGTGGCAACGGGGTGACCCCAGGGTTAAGTTAGAGCTCTGGGCAAAGACGGGCCATCGGGGGAGGGGCCGCGCGAGGGGCAGAAGTGACGTTGGGTCCGCGTTGGGGCCGAAGGCAAGTGGAGATATTTACAAGTGAAATCAGCGAGCTCCCCTCCCACGGCCGAAGGAGAAGGGGAGCCAGGCTGTCTCCAGGTCCGAGTGGCTGGCTCCCTCCTCTGCCTCTGGACTCAGTCACAACCTGGTGGCAGGATGACTTTTTTCCTACTCGGAGCGCGGGTGCAGGCCAAACCCGTTCTGGGGGGTTGGAATTCGGAGGGGGCGGGATCCCAAAGCCTGCAGGGCTCAGTGGTTAGCGCAGGCAAGGGGGAGGCCTAGCCGCTGGGGACGCCGGAGGGGTCGTTGCAAGTGAACACCCTGGGCCCGCCGCCTCTTTTCTTGTCTCTGGATCTGCCTTCTGAACCGCGGGGCAGAGAGAGGCGGAAAGGCCGCCAGAGAAAGACAGACGCAAAGGAAAAGAAAGGGGGAGAGATGGCGCGCCAGACTGAGCCCGCAGACCCACTCCATTCTCTCTGTGACTGAGGGAACTCCCCGGGCTGGCGCCAAGAGCTCTCAACCATGTGCATCAAACACGCGGCGCTGGAACAGCTCCTGCCCCCAAGGGCCGCCGACCTGGCGCGGGTGGCCCAGGCGTTTCCCCCTCCACTTGCTCCCACTTGGGATTCTGGAGGTGGGGGACTAGCGGGTACGCCAGGCAAAATGAAAAAGAAGACGGTGGGGTCCACTCAGAAGCACGCTCATTTCACACACCCCTAGGCCCTGAAATCAGCCCTTTCTCCCCTCACTCGGGGAAGCTCTCAACTCGAGGAGAGTAAAACAACAGTGTCCCCAGACTTCCCTCCAAGCAGGGGGGGTGGGGGGGGCAACTCAGGGCACCCCCAGAAGCGAGGAATGTAGTTTAGGGAATCCTCTGCCCGGGGCAGGGGCCTGTGGTCACAGTTGGCAATTCCGTGACAAGTTTGAGATGTCAGGTAGGTTGCCTTCCTCCCCTGCACGCCCCCACCGTCCCTGAACTGGAACCAGGCTCTGGCCTCTGGGGTGGGGGCGTTTCACGGTTTGTTTTACAAATTCACCCCTGACTACTGGCGAGATAAGTCCCGGGTGGAGAAAGAACGGAGGCACCCAGAGATAAGTGCGATGCCTGGAGAAGATACGGGCTGGCGCACCTCCCTTAACCTGGGCCGGCTCCGCGCTCCCGGTGCCCAGATCTCCGGTCTCCCCTCTGCACTCACACACGCTTTCAGGTGGAACACGAGGAGCCCGAATCCAGACCGAAGACCGAATCTGAAAGGGCTGCTGAATGCAATTCACAAAACCCCCAGTCTCCTCCCCGAGTGAGCGCAGGCAGGGCCCGCGGCGCAGGCTGTGTACGTGTTTGCGGGTACGTGTTTTTCTGCGGGGGGCTCGGTCCCGGGGTGCTGGCGCGTGTTCGCGTACTGATGTGCCGGGGGTGTTTGGGTCGCCGCACCCGGGTTCCGGTAGGGTACCGTACGGTGAGGAGGGAGCCCCGGCACGCGTGTGCCGAGATCTGGCTGTATCCGAGTGCCCGTGAGTCTTCGATCCCAGATGCCGGGGAGACCGGCAGAGACACCCGAGCTCGGGAGCCCTGGCGCGGCGGCCGGGCGGAGCTTGGCTCCACGTGGGGCTGGAGAGCGCTC